TTCTACTTAAAAAATAGGAGGCCCCATGACATTTTTAAGACTAGAAATTTGTCTATATCAAGTTGTTCATAATTCCTTTTAAAGCAAGGATTTTATTATGGTAGAAAACTTTCTCTCTTTTGTCTCGTTTGTCTTGTCTTGTTCTGTTTCAGCATGTTTTTAAGAAAACCGCTTTGTGGATTTAATGACTAGGTGAACCAATGGTTCCTGCATGTTTTTGTTGTTATGTCTGATCTTCATGTCTGTGACTCTACTAAGTATGTACGTTAGAGTTTGATACCTAGTATCTGAAGCTTCTTAATTAGGAGCCTAAGATCCTCCAAGGCAATGCCCCTTTCCAAGTTGTTTCATGATGGCAGTTTAAGGTATAAAATAAGGTACCTGAGGTTTTCATCATTTGTGTGGCATTTATGTGTATCTGAAATTGGAAAGCAGCCATAGTAGTGTAAGGTAAAGCAGGTATTTTTAAACTTTTAAAAGATAACTGAGCAGGGCACTGGGATGTGTTTACTAAGAAGAAATTCAGATACTCTGTATAGGTTTTATGTTCCTATTATGTATCTGGTCACTGCTGAATAGTTGAGTTTGACCAACTTAGTAGTAGTAACTTAACCTGCTCTACTTTGGAATCATGCTAGTTGCATTACGTGGATATGTTTATATAAACAGTCATCCTATTATTGCTGTGGATTGACTAGTGCTTTAGTTTTGGTGGATAGTGAAATATTTCATCTGGAAAGGGAGACACAGGTGTTATAGCCTTTATCAAGAAAGCAGCATAGGTAATAAACATGACTCAAAAGATTGTTGGAGTCCTAGGAAGCGTGAAGACTCTGGGACAAGAAATAGTTACTGGAGTGGTTCAGGGGCATGGGGTCTGAAGCATTGCTTCTCTTCGCTGTAATCCATAGTGGTAACTCTGACTGCTTGATTGGTGTTCATTTCGAGCTCTGTGATCACAGTACAGTGTTCATGTTTTCAGAGCAGAAACGGCAAAGGGAAGACACAGAGACTATTATGGAAGAGGCCTAACTAAATGGCCTGAGAAATGCCTCTGGGATATGAGCATGAAATTGTTCACCCTTGACACTTGGGCCTCTGCTTCTAGTGGAGAAGAGATGCCGTTGTTTCAAGTTTATAAAAGTGTCCTGGCGCCTTTCTCTGCCTTCATCTGGATCATAGCAGGAACACATTGGGCGGGGGGTAGGGTGTAGAGAAAACCAAAAAAGTCCCTTGCTGCCAAGTCGATTCCTACTCATAGCGATCCTATAGGGCATTGGTTTTGGGAAGGGGAAGACCCAGTAGCACACTAAGTTAAACATCGGGAATAATTGTTATGGGCCAGTGAATACCGTTCTTGCCTTCCAAATTAGTTGTTGTTGTTGTGTGTGTGTGGTGTGTGTTTTAAACCTTACCTGGACCTTTGGACCTTCTTAATCAGAAACATGTACCAACATTTCCTGATCCAAACTTTTATTCTAGAGCTGGGCTTCACAGGCTCTGGTTCTGTGGAGCCATGGAAAGAAAATTAAAAACACTTGTCTTCTGACTGCCTGAAAATTAAAATCAAATTAGGAAGAAAGAATATGTGGAAAAACTGAGAACAGTTGCAAAATAACAAAATACTGTTATATCATCCCTTTGTCCTATGGTACCATATTTTAGAGCATTGTCCTTAACAGCATAAATGATATTAAAAGTTAGCAGTTAATCATTTTTATATTCATTTATCACTAGTATGAGATGTGAACTCAGGGAGCAAGCTGTATCCATACTGTGTTGCAATGAGTTTGTTTTGCAAATTGTTTGAATTCTTTGCAAGCAATAGAAAAAGGCTCTACCTTAGGCAAAGTGGAAATATGTTTGAAAGAAGAGCAGGACTGCCAAGCCTCAAGGTGGCCTGAAATCAAGGCAGCTCCCGGGCTCTCCCAGCAGCTGGAACCGGCATCCTTTCTCTTTAGGATGCTCCGTAAGATAACAGCATCTCTCATTCCTGCCTTTCTCTCTACTCAAAATCAGATTCCCAAGAGAGACAATCTGATTGGCTCAGGCTGGATCAAATTCCTTCTCTGGATCAGTCACGATGGCCAGAGGAATGATTATTATGATTTGCAAAGTAAGGGAGAAGAAGAGGGACCGAACATACAAAAACTATAGCTGACTTGGAATTCATTTCATATAGGGAAACAAGGAATGAAGAAACATTAGTTCTGGGTTGTGCTTATTTGTAAATTGTTTTCCAGCAGTCTAATACACTGTAGACCTAATGCTTTTCTGGAAATAAATATTAGGATTTAAATAAGATTTTTTGTTTAGATGGTTTTTTGCTACATTTCAAAATTAAAAATGGTTTTAAAAAATGAATTAAAATACCCGAGAATCATTAAAGAGTATTTTCCACATTGGCATAATTGATCTGAAAAACAACATTGTTATTCCACAGCTTTTTATTCCATAACAATTACTAATTGAGCACATTGTGTTTGTATAGTAATATAGAACATACAGCTATGATAATTAGAAGTATTCATTAAAGGCTGCATGAGTGACTGGGATCATACATGTTATGGGAATTTAGCAAAGCAGCAAGAGGTTGCGTGTAACTATTAATATGCATATATGATACTTTTTTAAAAAAAAAAACAAGTTTGGTTTGGGGAAAATTTGAATTGAGAAGGGAGTTGTATGTCTCTGTTAAAAATAAAACAAAATATACATAGGTATATCCCATCATGTATATAGCACATCTGGGCTCCCCAGTGTAGCAATGAGAATCATTAAACAAATATATCCTTACTGCTACTCATCCTGGGGCATACTACATAGAGTTGCCCTTGTAAGAAACAGCTCCATCACCAACGTAGAAGGCTACACATTACACATTAGAAGAGTATCTGCCCTTGTAATTTGTTGGGGACTGAAGGTTAGAGGGTGAGGTGGTGGCCGGCACTGATGCTCTTCATATTTGAAACCTCTTTGTTTTGCTATCTGCTTGTATACGTGGCCTCTCCTTGTACCAGGATAAGTGTGTTTGAGGACAATTGCCTGAGCTTCTAAGGTGAATTTTGCACAGTCCACATAATTATAAATATTTTAGGTGGTCATCCAAATAGACACTTTGAATTTGAAGTTTTAACTGTCACATTTTATGAACTATGACAACATCCTAAACCTTATTTTCTGTATAGATTATTTCCTCATGAAATCTCTTATGCGTTGCAGCTCATTTTACTTCAGGACTTTTCTGCACAGCATGCGTTTAAGATTAAAAGGAACCATACTCCCAACTCCCTGTTAGGGCACTAGTGACTAAATGTATTGATAAGTGTGTACATTTTCTCCCCTGTGTCCTTAATGGGATAGTCCAGGGCCATTGTGGATGTCTGTAACCACATTTCCATGCCCAAACAAACAATTTAAATGAAACCATTAATAACTCTTAATAAGACATCGGTTATTGAAAAATGTTGGTTAATGTTTAAGTGAGCGAGCTTTGCACTAAGGAGTGATTTCAAGACTTTTGCAGCTGGACTTTTCCACCTGGAAACTTGGAAAAACTCGTGAAGGAATTAAACTACTTCATTCTTCCTGAAGTCACCTATCACAACCACCTGCCTTAAAAAAAAAAAAAAGAACATATCAGTCATCATCTCCCCATCATGGTTATTGCTGTCATTAATTCCTGAATGTTTAGAGGTAGTTTTCCTAATCACAAAAGTTTGGGATAAAAAAGGCTAATATTGTCATGAGAGTTAAAGAAGTAATAGCTTACAGTGAAGGAGACGGAAAAACTATAAAAAGCAAGTAAGAATTGTCTTTAGTGGTGTCTGTGAATTATTTTAAAGAAGACTAAGTTAAAATCAGTTATGTCCTTTTGGTATGTAATGTTTTAGGATTCTATCAGAATTGGTGGTAAATTTGTACAAGTATGAAATAAAAGTATGTACCAGAAAGTTTATTGAAACATTGTAATGGTAGAAAATTGGACACAACCTAAATGCTTCTCATTATGGGGCCAATTTAATAAATGCTTGAGCACCCATACACAAAGGAATACAATGCAGCTGTTAAAAGAATGAAGAGGATTATGGAATAAGTGATAAGATTTGTTAATTGAAAAAAGCAAGCTACCAAAGTGTTTATAGTTTGCTACCGTTTATATATATCGAATAAAATAATATATATTTGTATATGCATAAATTACCTTTTAATCCTCAGTATCCTTGTACCTTTTATGATTTGACTTTTCATATTAAACTTTTTTTTTGACTGTTCAGGTGATAACTCTTAGAAAGTAGAGGTTTCATCATGGGTTTATAGTATGACTCTCAGCTTTAGAAGCTGCTTATCCTAAGTGTGTTGCTTTAGCCAGAGATGAGCAGGCTCCAGGGACTGGTCAGTAACCAAACTCACAAGACTGATTTATAAATTGATAAATTGGAGACCCAAGATTACCAATACTGGGGTAGGGGGGTACTTGGATTTCTTGGTTAAAAGTCCATGTAAGAAGACAAACCTTAGGTCACAGAGTTGCTTGACATACTCTTAGGACAATGGGAAGTATATGAATATGTACATCGAGTTAGGGTAATTGTAGAAATTACTTTTCTCAATCTTAGATATTTTTGTATAGGTAATTGTTCTAAATAATTAGATTGCTACATGCCCTACATAATGCCAAAAAACAGTCACAAACTGTTTTTTTTTTCCCCCCACATTTTGTCCCTCTTAAGAAGGGATATGTTTTCCTATCTTCCTGAAACCTGAATTCTCCAATTTCCAGAGTATTTCAGGGATTATCACTGAAGCACACTACAGTGGGGATGGAGGGAGGACTGCCAAACTATTCTGAAGCCTGTAAAGAATCAGTATACATGAAAAATACTTGGGTTTCTTAAGTGATATTGACATTTTAGCAGAAAATAGTAACTCACTTTGGAGGGAGATGTACTATCTGCCATTTATCATCAGGCTCAATTTTCCTGTTTCTTATGTTTTAGGGAGGAAATAATGCTGGCCATACAGTTGTTGTGGATTCTGTAGAATATGATTTTCATCTTCTACCCAGTGGAATAATTAATCCAAATGTTACTGCATTCATTGGTAAGTATATAGTGTTAACTGAACTGCTTGGGGATTTTTTTCCCCCAGTTGACAATGGTATTCATTTTTTATCATCAACTGATTTCATTTCTCACTTACCAAATGGCTTCATTGATTCCTTATAAATTTTGGCCATGGTGCCTTCTGAAATATACCTAACTTTGGCTCTTTAACTCTTTTAGACCTTTTAGTAGTAATGCCTTTTAGAATAATTACTTTGTATTTATCTGTGATTGCTGGCAGTCTTAATTCTACTAAGAAGTATTAGATCAACAACTCAGGTTTTCAACCATTTTTGACTATGACTCACAGTAAAAAATACAGTAGGTCTATGTTTCACAGATTGATTCTGAACCCTTACTAGATGTGATACAATCTGATATTTTTTCATTTTCTTATGTTTAAGAAATGCTAATTGATTTTATGACCACTAATTGGATGTGATTCTCCAATTTGAAGGACATTGATCTAGAGTCGCCTGTGATCTGGCTTGATTTCCCGAAAGCTGCATAACTGGTTTCTTTAAAAAATAACTTATTTCAAAGATATTTTAAATTATGTTAAGTATAATTTTAGTTTTATATTCTATATATAATTATGTATTCACATTATACCACTACTTACAACTTATAATCATTTCTGTGTTATCTCCCTGGTAAATCAGAATGTCCCATTAATCAAAGTATCTCCTCTACTATTATAAAATGTTGTTATTAATGGCTATATTATAATATCATTATATATGTTTATATTATAAGGAACCCTGGTGGCATAATGGCTAAGTGCTCGGCTGCTAACTGAAATGTTGGTGGTTAGCACCTGTCCAGCTGCTCTGCAGGAGAAAAGACCTGGCGATCTGTTCCTGTAAAGATTACAGCCTAGAAAACCCTGTGGGGCAGTTCTACTCTGTCACATGGGGGTACTGTGAGTGGAGATCGACTCGACAGCACCTGCCAACAAACAAATAGATGTCTGTGTTATAATATCATTATGTATGTTTCTGTTTATAGATGTCTATGGTTGAGATTTGTTTTTCTTTAGGAAATGGTGTGGTAATTCATTTGCCTGGATTGTTCGAGGAGGCAGAGAAAAATGTTCAAAAAGGAAAAGGTATGAAAGGATGAGTCTGTTTTGCCTGGTAACCAGTAACTTTTTGTAGTTTTATTAGGAGTCCATGCCAGGCAAGTTTAACATTTTTGTCTTAGTAATACTTTAAAGTTGCAAATTGTTGTAGGACAAACATTTTAATTGTTGGTTATTAAATTTTATTCTGTTTAATCAGTATAGTAAACAAAAGGCAAATATAATGAGTCCTAATTTTTAACATAATGATAATCTGCAAACTTTTGTTTGATTTGCCATACCTAAAATTACTGAAAGCCTTGTTATACGGTAGCTCTAAGTTGGTGGCAAAACTCTCAGAAATTACTTCATTCATTTTGTCATCTGTGCTCAAGTTAGCATCCTCCTTCTTCCCAGACCGAGGACTGGCTTAGGGTGGTGAGGGAGACCACTGGAGCCCATTTTGCATGCTGTCAGCCCTGTTTTCAGAGGATCTGGAGCTCTCCGTTGGTTTATATAACTCGGGTGAGAGGGAGGTTGTTCAGGTTCTTCCCTCCAAATAAAGGACGTGCTCCTTTTATGCAATATATCCTTTCAGAAGATAGCCTTGGATTCCTACCTTTCCTAATCTCTTTTGGAGTTTTGAAGGCATCTTTTCATTCCACTTAGCAACCTCACTAGGGTGTGAGGGCAATTTAGAATATAAATAATGTACAATTAAGGAAAATTGTTAGTACTCTTTCTGTTTAGCTTAGCTCTCGTTTGAATTATTCAGTTATATTACTGTTGTTAAAATGTGTTGTTCAGGCTTAAAATTAGCAATCTATCACCGCAGGTGTTCCTAGCAACTAATTCCAGCGTTATGAAATCCTGTCTTGCTACCATCTCCTTTGTCCTCCGTGCGTTTTTGGCTGTGTGTCCTAGTCCCTCTTTAAACCGGTCAGCTTGAGGCTCCCATGCTGCACTCTGCTCTTCATCATCTCCTTTAAGAATGTTGCCCTTTGCACTTTTCCTTCTGTCGTTTCTTTGAATTCCTGTGTCTATTCATTCAACAATAATTTTTTTGAACACTTTACTGGATGATAGGTCCCATACTATGAAAACTCATGCCTTCTGCCCAAAGGCATCCACAGCTATATAAAGAGACAAATAAGTACATAAATAATTACAGTTCAGTGTGAAACATGGAGTAATAGACTACTTTGGAGGAATCAGTGAGGAAGTTTCCTTATTTTGTTTACTCACACTTTTTATAATTGCCTTTTGGAAAAGGGTGCCATTCTCAAAATTAACTCCTTTCTTTCGAACTTCTGCCTCTTCTTCTCCCCTACCCCCAGCAACAGAAAGCGTTTTTCTACCATTTAATTTTTAAATTTCTAAAAGTATTTTATGTAGCTTTTGCTGGTTTGCAGCTTGGAGCTTTTTAGAGCAAAACATTTAAAAAGATAAGAGTTTTTATGAACCTGTATATGAATGACAGTTAGGAGAATTCTTAATAAATATAGCGTTTCCTCTGCTGAAGAGAAGTTAACTAAAGTGGTTCCTTCAGTGAAAAACACTTTTAGACATTGTACTGATAAAGAAATTAAGGTTAAGAAATTATTGTATAAAATGTTCAGTTAAATGTATCTTTTGTCCCCCTTTCCTCTAGGTCTAGAAGGCTGGGAAAAAAGGCTTATCATATCTGACAGAGCTCATATTGGTAAGGGGCTTGGGCATGTTGCATTTATTTACGACTATCTTTTTTGTCAGAAATTTATCATGTGAAAATATTTAATAACCAATTTTATCTTTTAATTTTAGTTAAACCTAAGTAGGGTGGATTGTAGTAATTAGGATCCAAATACATGTATATAAAACCTTATTGATTTTTTGCTTCTGTTTTTTTGACAAGGGCTAGGAGCCCTGGTGGTGCAGTGGTTAAGCGCTCAGCTGCTAACCCAAAGGTTGGCTATTCAAACCCGCCAACACTTCTGTGGGACGAATGACTTGGTGGTCTGCTTCTGGGAAGATTTCAGCCTAGGAAACTCTATGGGGCAGTTCTGCCCTGTCTATAGGATTGCTATGAGTCGAAATTGACTCAATAGCACACAACAACAGGCTCAAACTTGCGTATTTCTGAAGAAAGGGTTATCTAAGCAAATTAATAGTATAAGCAGTATTTTATGAGACATAAGCTTATTTAAAAATGAGCCATATGAAAATACAAACAGCATTTATTTACATCTAATAATATGCATGTAGATATGCCATCTGACAATCTCAAGAATTGACTCTTTGTGCCTAAATGTAATAAAATTGCTTTTAAGTGATTCAGGCTTTATTCAGACTGGTTTCTCCTCCAATAGAGCAAACTAGATTCTAGAAGTAATTTAAGCCACCACCAGTAAATTTGAGGTTTTCTTCCCCGAGCTGATAGAACTGAGTAGCAGTGACATGATTAAGAGACTACAATTATGAAAGAAATAAGAACTATAAACCATGTTGGAAACTTCTATGTGATTGATTCAGACTCTTAAATTATATTTAAATATGTTTGTCTCCTGAGGCAGCAGCTGCTCTGGTTCTAGCATTGACCCCCATTTAGAAGGCAGCCACATCCGGGTTCTTATAGTATTACCCAGCCAAGGGCAGAAATCAAATAACAGTCACAAACTTTAACCCTGTGCATAATAGAAACTCAGTAAAATAGCTTTTAAAAATAACTTTTATTTAAACTAAACTGTACTGGAATAAGATCATAATTTTTATGTGAAAATGTCCCTGTCCTCATTGGATTGCTTGCCAAGTGCTGCTTAATCTATAAAATCTGAAGAGGACAATTTTTGATGATCACTGCAGAACATTTTTACATTAATAAATATAATCCAGTATGTTGCCTGTAAGTAGATTAGTTAGCCTTTGTACTGAAGACTTATAGCTGTTTGTTAGAGTAAGTAGATAAAACATGTGAGATACTTCCATATTTTCCATAAAACTTAAGTAAGTTTATGGGTAGTTTGTATTTCACCTGACTGTATTTATTTTTATTATTATTTTTTAAATTTTTTTATTGTTGTAATTAAATGAAGTTCACATTTCAAGTTAGTCTCCCATATAAAATTTTATACATACATTGTTATGAGACCCTAATTGCTCACCCCATTCTGTGACAGCACATTCTTCCTTTCCACCCCTGATTCCCCGTGACCATTCAACCAGCTCCTAACTCTCTCTGCCTTCCCATCTCACCTCTGGACAGAAGCTGCCCCTTTGTTCCCTTGTATCTACTTGACTAAGAGGCA